TATTCAAGAAAATAAACTGGAGAATCTCATCAGTTACTGTTTGATTCATTTGGTCTCCATTTGCTGTTATGGGACTGAAGTGCCTAATTGTTGATCTCTGTGTTCATTAAAGACTTAGTTGAGACCAGTGTCCTCAGACTCTTCCAACAACATCACTCTGATCCTTTACTGATGTCTCACAATCACTTGGATGCAATCTGTCATATTTATGGCTTCTTCCCGGCTTTAATGACATTGGCTCTTGCTCAGCAAGTGGCGTTCTTCAATAGAAAATCAAAATATTTCTGAATGAATGCAACTTTTTTTTACTGAAAATCCATAACAGCAGGAACTCATAGTGGGAATACCTATTTTTGTGTGGATGTGACCACTTTCATAGTCAATCATTATATCCCTGACATCATGTTAAGTACTGTAATAGCAAACACATGTGACTGGAGCCACTGTGCCAAAAACAACTGTGCTAAAGATGAACTTCACCCCAAATTCTCTGCTTTAGAGGTCAGTATTTATCTGATATTCATTGTTGTGTATAAGAGAGAAAGAGTATGAGGCAGTATTCTCAGGTACACGTGATGTATTTGTGTCCAATTTCCAGTTGGGAGGGAGAAATTTCCTAGTTCCTGGTTGTATCATGTTAGGTATACAGTAGATCCCAAGTGACGCAATGTACACAAGCAGAAAAGACAATCATTTTCCAACAGTATGCCTCTGTATTTGTGAACAACGTTTTATTATTTGGGAATTGCCCCTTGGTGGACTGAGGGAAGGAAAGAGGAAGCTGTGTGTAATACTCCCTGAAGCAGATCCCTGGTTGTCTGTTGTGTAAACATTCTCTCACTCTCTATTTTAATGATTTTGCAGCAAGCAGAATCATTCTAATCTTTTGTTTGCATTTTCCTCTCTTCACTTGTTTCTGTAATTTTTTTGCTAGTCAACATCAAGCACTCATACTTTAAGTACAGAACGGATCAGATCTGGGGCAAACTTCCCATTCTTCTGTCATAACAAAATCCCATAATCCCAAATTCAAATTCTCCATCACTGGGACATTTCCTTTTCCCATAAACCATCCATGTGCCTTCGTTGAATTTTCTAATTTGATGCCAAATAATCCAGAATAATACAGTTTTGTGTTGCTACTTTACACCTAATTATGATAAAAAGTCTTGTATTTGAAACAGAACCTTATGACGTCTCAAAGCTCTTCACAGGATTTTACTGTGAAGCTTAGTCACTATTTATTTGTAGGCAAACATGGCAGTCAATTTTATGTACAGCAGTGTGAGCATCAATTTTATCTGCGGGAATATTGTCCAAGACACCATGAGAAAATAATGTCATGGGATCTTCAACATCCACCTGAACTGGCAGACAGGACTTTGGTTTAACTTCTCATCCAAAGGATGGCGCCTCCAACAGTGCAGCACACCCTCAGCATTAGAGTGTCAGCCTAGCCCTAGACTGTCAGTTCAAAATACTGACCAGTTCCACCTTTCCCCACCCACACAACGCTGCCCGTCTCCCCCAATGTCTCTCACCGTAGGCCGGTGAGACCCTCATCTACGCATTCACTACATCCAAGCTGAACTACACAAACTCCCTACCTCCCCAACTCCTCCCTCCACAAGCTGTAGGTCATCCAGAACTCGGTAGCCCATGTCCTCTCCTGCACCAGACTCTGTGACCCTATCACTCCCATTCTTGCCCGGCTCCACTGGTTTCCCATCACTCAGAGGATGCAGTTCAAGATACTGGTCCTCATCTTCAAGGCGCTCCACGGCCTTGCACCCCCCTACCTCTGTGACCTCCTAATCCCCTGCCAAGCTGTCCACTCCTCTGCTCAGTGAGCTCCAGCCTGTTTCACATCCCCTGCCTTGCCTGCCCTTCCATTGGCGGGTTGGGCCTTCAGCCTCTCTGCCCCCATCTGGAACTCCATCCCACAGTCCCTCTGCCTCACCCCTCCCTTGCCTCCTTGAAGACTCCTCTCAAGACCCTCCTCTTCGACCGTACCTTCGGTCACCCTCCTACCCATATTCTTTCCACCCTCCAAACCCCCTGATCGCAACTACCAGCTCGGGTGAGGATCCCTGAGTGTCAGCGCTTTGGGAAGACCTCCTGACATGAAAGGCGCTATACAAGTATAATTTGTTGTTGTTGATGTGGGGCTAGAATCTATATCCTTCTGACTCAGAGGTCAGAAACATCAAGCTAGCAGATATGTTAGGGTAGTGAGTTGGCCCCAGCTCCTCCAATAACATATAACTTTCTAATGTAATTAAATGCAAACAAACTACAAAGTGGATTGAATGTTGCTCACCACGTACCATTGTAGTTGATTTTAGAGCATCTTGGGAATGATTCCCAGGCCTCCATAATCATTTGTATTATATTTGCATTGCCAATTAATCAAAATACATGTGGGATTCTTAAGAGACTCGCTCTATATTCCAATCTGCTGTGTGGCAGATCAGACCTATTTAAGTTACATCTAAGGGATGTGTAACAAATGCTTGTAGGTCAGTTACATTACTGCAAATTTGTTACTGACTAAAGAGCTTGAATTCCCGTCTATTTAAAAAAACATACGGAATGGCAAAAATTAAAGCAGCCTGGATGATACAAGTGACAGAACAGAAAATGAAAGGCAACGCCCTAAATAAGACTCTAAACACTGTGGCCCTAGAAATGAGTAGCTGAGAAATACAACACAATTTATATTTAATACTCACCTTTTCAAGCCAAGAGGAGGTCGCAAAGTGTTTCATACAACTGACTGAGACTCTGAGCAAGCATTGGGGAGGGGGTGGGGGGGAGAAATAGCATCTTAAAAATCCTCAATATTGATAATAATACTTGCATTTGATATAGCGCCTTTTCACGTTGTTAAGACATCTCAAAGTACTTCACAGAATATATTGTAAAATGGATTGACTGGGTATTTTGTGGGGGAAAAAGCGGCAACCAATTGTGCACAGCAGTGTACCACAAACAGTCAAATTATTTTTTGAGGGATTTTTACCCCCAGAAAACGATCCGCCAATCGACTAACAACTGGTTCATTCCTACTTATTACTAGGTAAATGGAGACATGTGGAGTAAGGAAACTTGCCTGCATTTTGAGCTATCTCATATGTCCCACACTGGTCTACAATTGTTTCAGAACTTTAGGTTCCAGGAACTGCATGAAACCCTGCTGACTATTCCAGTCTGCCACGTTCTAGACTCAGACTATTTTAACACTTCAGTGATTGCACATTTTGGCAAATTCTTAAATGCAGTCTTAATTCTGAAGCCGATTTTCCACAGGTACTTTAAAAATGTCAGCAAACCAATTCCCAAAATGAAACCTAAATTTAAGAGTCTGCATAAATGTGGACACTATGATATATTAAAAAACGAATCTATATCTAAATGCAGGTGGAATTTCTGGTCACAGGAGAACAGAGAAAGAGTAAAACAGAAAATAGGGAAAGAAAATGCAAAGAAAATAGGGAAACTATATTTTACATGTTCCACTGTAGAACTATGGAGGAAAACACTTAAAAAAAAGTTTTTGAGAATACAGGGCACAGTTTAGCAAATCAATGTATGCCAACAATTTGCGTCAGTAAGCACCATCTCTGAATATCCTCGTATGGTTCAAAATCCTGGAATATACATGCCAGTTACTTATAGATTGCCTGTCATTCTATTTCTACTGGTATCCCAGATTCCTACTACTCGGAGCACTAGGAAGAACTTCAGAGGATGCTCAAGGAGAAATAGATATAGAGATTTTCAGCATATATATCAAAACACACAGAAATATCAGGTGGCTCCGTCTCAGTTTCAATTGTTCTAAATTGCTCCTAAAACAATCCATTCAAGTCCCAGAGAAACAACTACTGGACCTGATTGCCTATGACAGGATTCCACACAGATTAAGGAAACTGCAAACACCTTTTCATGCACAGTTTCATGTTAAGCCTGCTCAATATAATGTATCATGTTGCTTTTACCTTGAGGTGAGCAGTGACATCATTGTTATCCTGAAATCAGGTAAAGACCCGCTATCTACTTCCAATGCTTTCCCTCCCAGCTCTAAATATCTGTCATCGTCCATTAATCACTGGACCAGAGAGGTAAGCATATTATATGTGCAATGATGTCAGTGTCACTGTATTCTGGAGCTTGCCTTGAAGCAAACTTGGAATGAGAAATAGAATGGAAGCTAAAAAAAAATCTTGAGCGAAATCTCTTGGTTTATGCTAATTGGCTCCTAGGGAAAAAATCTCCTGTGCAGACTTAACGGAGTGAATTGCCCGTTTCTGTGCTGAAAAATTCCACGAATCTATAAATCTAACCTCATATTACGATAGGTCCAATTCATTGAGGACTTGAACATGAAGTGCAAAATGCGTGGGCTGGAACATTTTGTACAAACGTACATGTGATATAGCATTGTGTACAACATTGCATCGCTACGTGGGTATGAAACCCAGCAATTTGCAGTCTGTGCCCACTCAGAGAATTGAAAACTGGAACAGTCATTTCGGCATTACAATGGGAAAGAGCTGCGTGGGGCATACCCACTGTCGGCTTCTGCACCTGAGCAGCATGTCTATGTACTATTTCTCCCACAAAACAAGTCAGTCATACACTGGCTTGGCCTAACTTGCTGCATGTTTATGAGCCACGGTTGAAACAGAATTCAGATCATGCTGCAGCTTTGACACTCCAATCAACATGCGAAGATAAGACTCAGAGAAGAAAAAGCTGAACATTTCAATACCAGATAATTCATTTATCGCAACAGCTCATCAATAAGTACATTCTAGTACTTTACAATGACCTCATTCCCCATTATTATAGAATAATGAAGCATCTCTATGTGGAATTTATATTTCACACTTTGAAGTTGCAATATTTCCAAAATAAATTAGAATATCAGATCACTTAATCACAATCTCTCAAATGGGCTGCTGGGGAGAACATGAAAATTTACAAAAGAAATGTACCTCTAATCTGTAAACCAGAACCACAGGCTTCATTTGCTCCGATAGTTCCCCGTCTGACATAATCAGGAGCAATAATGCAGCGATGCCACTTGTGTTCCTTCCATCTAAAATAAAATAAAAGAAAGGGTTGGACAGAGAATTCTTTCCTTTATCCATCAACATATTGATGCTTGTAACCTTCTCAGTTAAAAAATACAAGGCATGGTTTTAATTGCTCTCAAGGGATACAGTTTATGTACATGCCTGGTTTGCATAATGTACAAACAGACTACTGAAACTAAGGTGTGTTGGCTTAATTTTCTAGTGATAAAATAATAGTATAAATACGTTTACCAGGTCCACAATAACAATGCTCTGCGTAACATTACAGCAATATATTCCACCATGAAAGGACTTATTTCCTCTAAATGTTTGTGCTGCCCACCACAGCTTATACTTGCATTGTGAATGTTTTATTAATATTTTAATAAAGCTGCATTCAGACTAGGCTTTAGGTGATAAGTTGCTTGGACGTACAGTTTTCAGGAACAGTCTGATTCAGACCCTCTTCAGTATGAAGATGGAACGTAGAAGATTTCGGAGGCAATCTGATCCTGCTCTGCTTCAGTGTGAACATGCAAAGTTGGATTCACACTTTGTTTGTTCGTCTGTGCTCCTCTGAACTGTCCAAGGGCCTTAAATGAACCTTTTTTAATGCGGTTTTATGGCCAACAGCTATGAGAAGAATTCCCCATCTGGTACTCTTCTGTTTTCCCCTTTATTTACTTCATTGTTCCTTTGTTATCAGCAAGCCAATGTTTAAAGAAAAAGGACTAATTGGTGTAAACACAGCTTACTCTACATGCGCTGAATTGATCTGTCTAAGATAGAGGATGGAAGCCATTTCAGTGGACAAGAATGGTTGGAAGTTTTGAAAACTGAATGTCAGCTTCGTTCAAATTCATTTAGGAATCTGACAACCTTTTGGTGCATTTGATTTAATATTATGCAGTTTTCAGAGCCAACTGTGATCTATCATGTGGTTAATTGGACAGTTATAATAATAATTCTTGCATTTTATATAGCGCCTTATCATGTCTTCGAGACGTCTCAAAGCGCTTCACAGAATATACTGTAAAGTGAATTGACTGTACATTTTGTTGACGAGACATGTGTAGGTTTACAGGACTTTGAGATGAAGTATTCTGACTTTCTGTATGGTAACACCGAGGACAAGAAGAACAGTGAGAACTGTCAAAACTTTAATAAACAAAGACATATGCCAAAAATATTATCTAAAATATCAGAGTAACTTTTACCTTTTTTAAAATTCCCCATACATTCCTTTATTTAAAGGCTGCTTACATGATTACAAAAAAAGAACCATTTGATCTCTCATTTCTAAGTGTTAAAAGGATTAGAATTAGAATTCTGCACAAACAGGATGCTGCAAGGAACGATACTTTGTAGCATGGATGATATTCTCATATGAATTCATTTAATTTATTCAATTCATTCATTCAGTTAAAATCGCAATTCGACAAGTCACAATAAAATGGAAATGCAACTTTTATGTTTTACCTGTACTTCGGACAAACTGAAAGTACTTCACATTTTCTTTCTTCATACAGAGTATCCGGACATTCCTGACCCTTGTTGGCAGGTTTCTGAATGATAATTCTGTGGCGAGACTGCTTAGCAGAAGAGACATTACCTGAAGAAACTAGAATGACAAAAGAGTTAACACTACTAAAACTGGGCATAATTTAGAGAGATTCGGATATTCTACAATTCCACAAAAAAAACTTTAGTTCTTTTCCCTACATTTAGGTTCCACACTATACTGTATTATTCATGAAAACAAATAATGAAATAAATAATCCTTGCATTTAATATCAACTGAAATGTCTTGAAGCGCTTCTCAAATTGCTGCAAAGCATAGTGACTGTATATTTGTAGAAAAATGCGGTAGCCATTTTGCTCACAGAAACATTTAAGAAACAGTGATGAAGTTAATCACTCCCACCCTCGCTCGCCTCCACTGGCTCCCCATCCCCCAGAGGATTGATTTCAAGATCCTCATTCTCACCTATAAGGCCATCCACGGCCTTGCTCCCTCCTACCTCTCTGACCTACTATCCCCCTACCTACCTGCCCGTACCCTCCGTTCCTCCGGCTCCGGTCTGCTCCACATCCCCCGCCCCAATCGCCCTACCATCGGTGGTCGGGCCTTCAGCCTCTCAGCCCCTAGGCTCTGGAACTCTATCCCCCAGTGCCTTCGCCGCTTCCTCCCTCTCCTCCTTCAAGGCCAGTCTCAAAACCTTTCTCTTTGACCGAGCCTTCAGCTCCCCTCTCGACTCTCTTCCCCCTCCTCGCTCCCTCCCTTCCCTCCCCTCACCCTGACCATTTCCCCCTTCCTCGCTCCCTCCCTTCCCTCCCCTCACCCTGACCATTTCCCCCTGCTCGGGTCCTGACCCAACTGTGCAGCGCCTTGGGACGTCCTCCTGACGTGAAAGGCGCTTTATAAATGGAATCTTGTTGTTGTTGTTGTTAATGACCAATTTAGCTGGAGCACCATTAGCCAGGGCACTGGTAGAAACTCCTTTCTCTTCGAATAGTGAGATCTTAAATGTCCACCTGAACAGGTAGATGGGAGCTTAGTTTAATAATATTAATAATCTTTGCATTTGATATAGCGCCTTATCAAGTCTTCAAGACGTCTCAAAGCGTTTCACAGAATAAACTGTAAAGTGAATTGACGTGTATTTTGTGGGTGAAACAAGTCATTTGAACAATGGATCTGCTGATAATGCAGCGATTCTCCACCACTGCACTGCGGTTTGAGTCTGGAGTGTGTTCGAACTTATAATTTTCTCACCAAGAAGCGAAAGTACTGCCAACTGAGCCAAGTTGATACTTGATTGATAACTGGCAATGATAATATAAGCAACAGTGATCCAGGATGATTTGCATTTTACATCATTTTTTCTCACATCAGGGGCACCAAATATTCACCACCTGCTTGTGTTGGATTAGTTGCGATGAAAACATACACTCTGAGGATCACAGATATAAATTTACATCCTAAAATAAAATCGCAAACTGCGTTGGTACGCATCTGGCTATTTTTAAATTTATTTTTAATCTGTTCAGAAAAAAGATTGCAGACAAATCATCTCAGCAAGCTGATAAAATCTAGCATCATATGCACTTAGCTGAGATGTCTATGTGCGTGTGAAGGACATAAGGCTGCTTCAGGCACTACATTTCCAGTTTCATTGGCAAAGGCCATCTTATCTTGATATTTACACTAGCATTGATTCAACTGACAAAATTAGATTCATTTCGTTAATGGACAGTATTAATTACTGTACAAGGGAAATCTTGCAAAATACAAGGACGTCAGGAACTCTCAAGAGACACTGGGTAATACCCTCACTTTAGTTGTTATTGAAGAAATGCAACTCTTTACTCCTGTAATTGTAAAATAAGCTTGTTGATGAAAGACAGAAGAATTTTGCCATTATATCTAAATTGCTTTTTTGCCAGTTTCTCCTCCGCAAATAACATTAGCCCTTTCAAAATGCAACCTAGATATTAGTATTCACCCCACCCCGTCGCGAACACAATTCTCGAAGCCAGCAAATCATTACCAATGTTCTTGCATGCAAATTTGATCTAATCCAAAATGTAATTTCAAAATTTGCAAGCACCAGATTATTAATGGGTTACGGAATATGTCAAAGGGTGTTTTTTGCCACTCAGCAGCAACGTGTGTTTTTCATGTGACATTTGGTTATGATGTACAGAATATTAATGTAGCACTCAGCTTTTCAGATGTTGTTTTGAAAGCTGAGTTTCACTATCATAAGGTCAACTTAGGGGATGACTACCATGTTCCAGCTTGTGTTCTTATTAGAGCTTCTCTTCGTCCCTTTTTACCCACTCACTTTCAGTAACATGTTTCCCTCCAGGATGCTATAGAATTTTGGTATGCAAATGTCAGGCTTAACCTCCTCTTCAATGTTCATATCAGAAGTGAAGTTTGATGACCACAAAATCCATATTACTCCATTCCTATTTACTGTGATATGACTGGACAAGATAAGTAGCTCCCAGAGGTATATGTCAAATCAAGTAATATCATGCTCGAACTTTCTTCAGAGAATTAAATTTCGTAGACTAAGCCAAGTCACATCAAGGAGAGGAGATTCCTGACAGCTCCACTCAAATGACTTTCCTGATAGGTCAACTAAGACTACTATCTTTACACCAGTGTATTTCAGTGGTCTGGATTGCTCTGATCTGTGAACTATGAATAAAGTCACAGATGTGGAGAGCTAACAATTAAACCAAGAAAAAATACACACAAGAGGTAAAAAGCATAGCACACTTTTCGCAGCTCTTTTTACACACGTTTCACTTGAAGTCATCACAAACATATTTTCAAATGTTTTTCCCCTTAATTACTTGCATAGCCTGGAAATAATGACGCTAACACTGGCAGGCACCACTCTAATTGCATGTGCCACTAGTAGTTAGTAGTTTTATTGCCATAAAAGATCTAAAAATATGAACATATTTAGATCTGAAATCTTATTTGGTTCTGAAAATGTTGCAATATTTTGTAAAGGACAAGTTGCAACTGTCAAGTTCTTCTCTTCAAAGAAATTCTAATTCCACCTCTAGTAGGATGCCAAATTGATATCCCCTTTGGACTAAAATCTATAACCTTTAACATTGAAGTTGATTCTCATAACATCTACAGGTGATGAGAGAACCTGGATCACTTCAGACAGGATACTGTAAAATTCAGGTTCAGAGAGACGGATACCATTGTGACAGCTTAACACAAGTGCTGTCCCATCATTTTCTGTGTATTTTATATGAAGCCCAACAGGATGTGAACTGAAAGGAAGTGGAGGGTGTGTTCTCTGGCTTCATTTCAATTATCAATGAGCTGCTGCTACAAATGACTGTTGAAAAGTCAGTGTGGAGATACACTATAACACAAACCTGGAAGCATGCACAATATAGCAGAAGATCAATATGCCTGAGGTGTGGAAAGTTCAGTTAAGATAAAGGTTTCAGTTGTAATCAACTTTGAATGTTCAAGCTCTCAATCCCCATTCAAAAAACTATTGAAGGCTTTAATGTTCTGTGTAAATGGGTCTGAAAATAGTTTGTCAATAGCACAGGCTTTAATTTCTTTCTGAGAAACCCCAAAGGCTACTTTAAAGTTATCGGTATAACACAGTTTTAATTAAATGATTAATAACACTTCAATGTCACTGTTAAGGTCTTACATTGCTGACATGTTGTAGGGCAAGACGTCCATTCACCAAAAGGGGTAACAATGCAGTCCTTTTTGCATGGCAAAAGACATGGTCGGAAATTTTCTGGTCTGGTAATTTCAGGACACCTGGAAACAACGTGAAATACATTAGACCCTTTGTAGAAACAAAGCACTTTCTAAGTATAATTTTGAAGGTCATTGTCTTAGGTCCCTTAGGTAAGGAAGTGATGATGAATTTGATATTTTGGCTTTGTGTTTCGTTGTAACATGCTGCTTGGGTTTATGGACCTGAAAGAACATATTATAATGAGGTACTTGTGTTTCGGTTTTCTTTCAAATGCCGAGTCTGAGACTGAAACTAGCTTTGTTAATTTTAAACACTTGCACGTCACTTTGAAAGTCCTGGCAATACACTATTCGGAAACATTTCAGAGGCATTAAAAAATTATCTTGCAGGGGAAATGACAAGGATCTCAAAACTAAATCTTGTTATTAGCATTGTACATTGTAATTGCTATTCATAATGCTTGCATTTGGAAAATTTAGCAGCATGATCAAAAGACGGGCCTTGACATTTTAATGTACTGTCCATTAGCACTCCTGGGTTGCTATTTGCCTATCCTGTTGCTACTCTGTTTTATGTGTCAAAGAAACTGCTTCTATTCACAGAAGTAAAAGTTTTGTGGGTGGAACTTGATTTATTTTACTTTAAGCTCATCTTTCAGCATACCCTTTGTAGTGAAGGAGAATATAACCAGCCTCATTAACTGCACAGATCATTGAAATTTAGCACTGAATTTAACAATATATTTTAATTAGATTATTAATACTGCTGATGAGTTTATTCCTATATTTTATCTGGAAGGTGAATACGAGTGGGCCGACTTATCAATAGCCAAGCTCCAGAAAACTACAACCAAGATTGATCTAATCATGTCTATGAAGTGATTGCTGATCTTATGACCTTCAGTTCTCTGATATACTATCCTGCACGTAGGACACTATATAACAAGTTGTTGCGTTGTTGTGATTCAACTGAATACAGCCTTCAGGATCAGTCACTCTCAAGTGCTCCTTATCCAAGTTACTCCTACTTCCCAAATGGTTTGTGTTTACAGTGAAGAGAGAAAAAGGCAAACAAATGAAAGGATTTCATCCATAAGTGCTGGATATTTTGATTGTAACAATAAGAATAAATTATTTAGTCAGAAACAAATGAGTAAAATTAAAGTTAACCTAAATAAACAGAGAAAAGAGGAAAAGTAAGAGTGAAATAGAGTTTAAAAATTAAGTGTTATTTACAATTGTGCCCTTAGTAGTAATTGGTTAATTGCTGCAGCACAACTGTATCTGATGTTTGAGTTATTTTTATTACCATATTTGTGGTAAAAATTCCTTAAGTATCGAATTACTTTGATGTGCAGAAGGCTGACATCTCCCGCTCTCTCCCACAGCAATCTTATCACTGACATCCATGAAGCTGGCTGACATATTAGTCTTCGGGTGAGCAGTGAGCTTTTATCCCTATTAAAAACCTCAGTAAAGTTGTGATAGTCAAAAGCCACTGTCTGAAAGTCGACTGCATGACCTGACTTCATGGACATGGAGAATAGTGTTGGGGAAAGAGAGTATCTCCAGCACATCTGGCTAATTCATACTCAATAGTTAAGGAATTTCTAAATTTAACCCAGTGTCAGAGCATATCAGCTGCTCAGCAGCAGAATGTTAGTCATGTCAATGTTATGGTTATAAAAGAGTACCGGCGTTTTCATAGCGATAATCTAGCCTCAGATTTAATTGTATGCTTTATTTTTCCTAAAACATAAAATATTCTCCCGCTGACCTTCCAAGCAGAACACCTAGTTTTCAAAAGATTCCTACCTACTGAATGTGAGATACTAGAATGTGACATCAGTAAGAGAAAGAGAGAAACCGAGACAGACAGAGAGAAAGGACATAGAAAGAAAATGAGATATTCAAACTGAGAGCAATTACTAGTCAAATTGTTATTTTATTCCAGTCACAAGGCATATTTTCACTATTTCCACTTTCTTTTTTTCTCCCTTGGTACAGATTATTCAAAGCAGCCCAGGTGTTTGCTGCCAGAGCTCTGTCAATTTGGTGTATGGGATCTGGATTCTTGGATTCTCTAGTCATCCTGTAGCTAACATTCTCGTGATACCTCCTGCCAGCAAGTTCAGCTGAGATCAGGAACCCACAATAAGGGGAAATAGTTGACCACCTGCCTCTCATGATCTTCCACTCCGACATCAGTGACTCACTATAGGAGCGCCCGGAAAACAGACTTGCACCAAGGGCTTTAAAAACAAAAAGGTTCATTTTGATGAGGAAGTTATTGCTTTTTACAGCTGTCTTCTCCAGGCTCTCCCACCTGTCTCTGGCACCTAGCTATATACTGGCGCTGATTTATTAGCAGGTTGCTGGAAGGTCAAACCACCCTGATTGGAGTCCAGCCTTGTTAGCTGCTTTGACTTAGGCAACTTTTTTGAATCAGTCAAAAAAAACACATAAGTGAGGCGCCTAAATTCATAGAAAAAAGGGACTGGGTTTATCCCCCCCTGTCACACACCCTATTTATAAAATGAATCTAAAATTGGACATGAAATATTATTATTAATTTGTTACAGCGTCTTATCACGTCTTCAAGACTTCTAAAGCACTTCACAGAATGTACCTTAAAGTGAATTGACTGTATATTTTGAGGGTCACTGATGTCAGAGTGGAAGACAATGAGTGGCAGTCAGCTATTTCCCCTTATCGCAAGTTCCTGAGTATATCTACCACTTCAACAACAGCATACATCTTCACTTATATGAAAAATAAATTGATTCCTAAATATTTTTCCCAACCCATTACCATTGCCATAAATTACATACAGTAAATCTAAATAAACAATTAGGATTTAAAATGACAGTTCCTCATCCTTAATTTATTTCAATTCTTCCCCTGAAAGAAATCTTAATACCTTTTGGGAGTAACCTGTCCAATCTTGCTTTTCATGCAAGTGACCTTTCGAGTCTGCATCCCGACAGCACATGTGGGCTCTCCATTCCAACTTATAGTGGCATTGAGGGCTGTCACAGATATATCTTCAGTGCAAGGGCCCCAGGGTGAGGCATCCCAGTAAAATATTGTGCAGATGTGCTCATTGCAAGATCGCAATTCGTCCAAGGCTTTGCTGGGTGGACATGGGTTCCCACCTGAAATAGAAAAAAAGTGTTTAACTCACACAATCAACCAGAAAACTCTGTACTTCAATGTGTGATTTAATACCCATAAAAAAATCATGTGAATCCATATTTCAAAGTTGGAACGGTGCTACATTTTGTGACTACGATCAGCCGCTTATTTTTCAAAATGTTGAATAAAGGGAAGTAAAGCACTATCTATCTTTCATCCATAATAATTTATAAAGATGAGAAATAGTTGTACCTCTAGTAATTTGATTCTCCTATTTATTGACTACTTCTTGTAATTTTAAAGTAAATGAAATGTAAATGAATAGCAATTACTCAATCTGATATATGTCCACAATTTGCTCAGCTGAAAAGAACCCAACTCATGTGAGTGTGCTTCTCGTTTCCATTTTTGTGGTTTGAAACATTTCCTTTATTACATATCAACTTGGAAAATATATGAAACATTATACAACATTGAGAAATAAATCTTCAGAGACAATAGTTAGTTGTTGCCGTTTGTTTAAAACTCCCCTTGGCACTTATATTCCGGGGAATGGATTATAAACTTCCAGTGGCATTGGTGGCAATACAGGATCAGCTGTACTCATGCAAAACTGTCTATATACATAATAATAATCCTTGTATTCAAGACGTATGGTTGTTTCAAGGCATATTAAAATGTTATTTTTCAGAGATGTGTCGTCCCTTTTGTTTGAGTAAACTTTACGCAGGTCAACAATATTTTTTTTGACAGCTAACTCCACAGTTGAAAAGAACATGATAGCCAGGAGCATCAGAGATAGCAGAAGAGACCATTTATTCTGCTGTCTCTCGTGCTATCAATTCCACAGATGGGTAATGGTGCACTTTGACAGGGTTGTAAATATCTCCAGAGGCAACAGCATCACTGAACACGGTCTATTGTTGCGCTGCTAAAATCTGAGCTGTTATTCGTCATAGTGTTGTAACATAAATGCGATATTAGAGATTACAGGTGCATATTTAAATATCCCCTTAACCAGTTATAGGTGTGTGGTTCAGAAGCTCATTAGGTTCAAAAAGAAAGAGGAGTTTGCCACAGTGTCCTGGCCTCCAATCCTCCAGGTGAATTGTTCATTTACCTCCTGCTTGTTTATGTAACTTTGTTGGCACAAATGGCTGCCATGTTTGCCTACGAAAAAAGCCACCACATTTCGTGGCAATTACTTGCGAAGCACTTTGAGATTTTTCATCTTGGCGTGGCGCAATAAAAAAATAAAAAAGATCCTTCTTTCTTAGAGGTGTATTGCCCCACAGTTCATTAATATGTCACAAGTGTGTGGTTCAATAGCTGAATAACAGGTTATAGATGTGTTTCAATACCTGAGTAACAGGTTACAGGTGTGTAGTTCACTGACTGAGCAATAGATTACAGGTGTGTAATTCAATGTGTCATTAACAGGTTGCAGGTGTGTGCTTCACAAGATGAGCACGTTACAGGCGTGTAGTTAATCACTAACAGGTTACAGCTGTTTGATTGAAGACAAGGAGCAGTGTTTCGTTCACCTGGTGACAGTGACAGAGGCCTGGAAGAAGGCTGCCTGACTGCCCCGACAGGACAGGGATGCCTTGGTTAGAGAGCCCAAAAGGGAAATACTAAAATCAATCATAAAAGAAACAAACAAAACAACTGCAATATGGCCAAAGTATGTTACCTTTTCTTATGATCTTTATGCAGCTTTCACCCTTACTTCAGCTTAGGTTTTAGCATTGAAAACAATCCATTGCCTCTTTCCACATTTAACCAGTAATGGATGGATAATCAATAAAACATCGTGCTAGTAATGGTACAATATTAATTTTACTTCAGTGATGAGAAAGACATCGTAATTCACGTGTGCTGTACTTCTTGTCAATTATAAATCATTTCCCCTATGAAATAAACCCGATAAAGCACCACTACCAGTGTCACATTCTCTACATTGTCCCAATTGAGATTGATATGGGTTCAGAAATGACTTTAGAGCTCATTGCTAGACAAGGTAGAGAATTTTCCATCCCCACCACAGTCGTTCTTCACTCTGATGAATAGGTAGGCACAAAAAAAATCTTTAAAAAGCAATATTATTACTGCAGGAAGCTCTTGCTAGGAATTTTTGAAAACATCATATTGTACTAAGCAGCCTGCAAGGAAAGTGATGAAAAAAAAACTCCAATGCTGCACTCAAAAAGACTTATTGGATAGGGATTCTCATTCTAAGAAAACCAATCATGCAGGCAGACCAATATCTCTCTGACAAAAGACATGTTGGACCAAGTTGCAAAGGAGTGCCTGGCATTGTGAAGAAGGAAATTGGGTTAAGATTTCCTCCTTTGTAGGCTATAAATTGTATACTGCTGGCAATGCCAAAAAAACAAGTCTATTTCTGCCATCTTCTCCTGGTGGATGAAAAAAGAAAAAGTAAGGTTCAAAGCCCTGAAGGTATTTATTCTGTGATGGGTAACTTGTGCAATGCAAAGGTTACTTTTCCATATACTTGTTCTTCCCACTCATGACAACTTTAATCTAAAACAGAACTGAAGTACAGCATCCCATTTGACCATTTTGCATGTTAACAGGGCTGATGTGGAAGCATCTGTATTGCAGCACAAGAGGCTGAGTGAGCAATTGTATGAGGTTGGTTTTGAGTCGTGGTACTCTTCCTACATCATGATTACAATCCCTTATACAATGGACAGCAAGTAAATGCTACTCCAAGCAAAGAATTCCAATGTACAAGCCACTCTACATTCACTGCTATTGTATTACATCTTCAACCTGCACTCTAATTCAATTCATCATTTATCTATTTCTCAGCAGTATGCCAGGGAAGCCACATCCTCTCACATGGTCCTTATGCAACAGTGGCCAAAGTCTTCAGAAGATTATGGTAGCCGTCAATGGCAAACAATGCCAGGATCCACAGGCAGCCAAAGTGTTCCATATTTGCATTACACACAGAAACAAAAACAACAACAAACAATAACAAGATTTCATTTATAGAACGCCTTTCACGTCAGGAGGATGTCCCAAGGTGCTGGACAGTTGGATCGGGACCCGAGCAGGGGGGAAGTAGTCAGGGTGAGGGGAGGGAAGGGAGGGAGCAAGGAGGGGGTAGAGAGTTGAGAGGGGTGCTGAAGGCACGGTCAAAGAAAAAGGTCTTGAGACCTGCCTTGAAGGAGGAAAGGGAGGCAGCAAGGCGAAGGGACTGGGGGATGGAGTTCCAGAGCCTGGGGGCTGAAAAGCTGAAGGCCCGGCCACCGATGGTAGGGCGGTTGATGTGGAGCAGACCGGCGCCAGAGGAACGGAGGGTACGGGCAGGTAAGTAGGGGGATAGTAGGATGCATCACCTGTACAAAATGAACATTTGAGTTGAAGGACTGAAACCAATTGAAGGTTCAGATGATGCTCATTGTTTTGGTTTATGGTATCAGCTGAGGTGTTGGGTTACAACTTGTTCCATCCAACCATTCATTCGTATTTTATGGTCACAGTGATATAATACCTCATTTTTGAAGCAAATTAATTGCTATGAAACATGCTGTATAAATCCGGATTGAGAAGATGGTTCGAGGAGTAATAATAATAATAATAATCCTTGCATTTGATATAATGCCTTATCACATCTTTGAGATGTTTCAAAGCTCTTCACAGAATATACTATAAAGTGAATTGACCTTATATTTTGTGGTTGTTAGTTAGTTCATCAGTTAGTTAGAAAGTTTGTGAGTAGTTAGTTCTCCTGTATAAACATTGGGTATGAATTAAACAACAACGAAATTACATTTGTATAGCGCCTTTCACGTCGGGAGGATGTCCCAAGGCGCTGGAAAGTCAGAGTTTCAGACCCAAGCTGCGGGTTGGGATTGAGGAGGGTGGAGGACAGGGGGTAGTCAGGGTGATCGAAAGCACGGAGTGAGGAATCTTGAGATGGGTCTTCAAGGAGGCAAGAGAGGACACGAGTTGGAGGGACTGCGGGATGGAGTTCCAGAGGGTGGAGGCAGAGTGGCTGAAGGCCCGCTCACCAATGGTGGGGCAGGCAAGGCGGGGGACGTGAAGCAGGCCAGAGCCTGCTGAGCGGAGGTAGGGGGCGGGATGGTAGGGGGTTAAGAGGTCGCAGAGGTAGGGGGGAGCAAGACCATAGAGGACTTTGAAGGTGAGGACCAAGATCTTGAACTGTATCCTGTGCGTTTGGGTTCTGCTCTCCCATCGTCAAAAGATAAAAATCTTAGCACCCGACTTTGGAGTTCTGCAGGCATTAGCTTTATTTCATGGCCCCAAATATAATGAAATGTAGAGAAAAAAATATAAATCAGACATTATATTGCTCTGCTGTTGACTCAAACAGCATAAATGACTCAAAAACAAAATTGCTGATGGAAGTACTGTAGAAGCTATATTCATATCATTCAAATGTTGTGTCCACAATGTTTAGCAGGAGTCAATACATAAAAAGAAGCAATTTTTTTAACATAAATTATCATAAAGCAACATAAAATATCACATTGAGTACAAACTTATATAAAATATATTTCATCATTGCAAAAAAGAACTGTCCAATTGTAATTACTGTAGCATTGTACAGAACTAGCAATGACTCAGGTTCATCAAACTATAGTTCTTTGCTGGTAAGCAGTATTTCCTACCTTGTGAGTATGTTATTTAGTAATTCAGATGAAACATATGTAGATAACTGGGTTAGTTTATTTTGTCTGGTTTTTGAAGTTGCCATTGAGTGCTACAGCTTTCTTGTTAATCAAATTGTGGTTACCAGCATTCAATGTTATTAAACGGTGTGAAGTACTGACTGTTATAGACGATATTTACCATGGTTTGGATTTTAGTCATCAGTAATGAACTGATAAAATCATGACAGAGTTTAATGGATACTATTCCCATACGTGAAGCATCACTTTACGTTGTCATCATCAGTTGGTAGTAATCCCTGCTCTGAGTCAGAGGTTGTGGGTCAAGCGCCACATCGGGACTTTGAACTCACAGTCTCAGCTGTGAATGCTGGGGGGATCCTGCATTGTTGGAGATGCCATCAATCGGATGAAAAGTTAAACTGATGTCCCATCTGCCCATTGAGGTGGACATACTCTGCTCTGAGACACTATCCTGCGTGTAGGCTATACATATGCAAACTGTTGCTAAATTTGGCCTCAGTGCCCCTGAGTTAAGCAGTGAAAGAATAGTATTTGAATCATTATACAATACCCACCTATCCCCACATCTCCATTGCAAAACTTTTCTTGTATGAAAAGTCCACCAATCACATTAAAACCAAAGATGTTGGTTCACTGCAGGAAACATTTCAAGCCTTTTAAGCTCTTACCAGGATTGCTGATCTAAACAGCAGCTTCACAACGGGACAACAATGCACCTTTGGTGTGGCAATTCTAACAGATGAAAAATGAAAAGTACTGTTAGCAATATTACAAACGACCCCAGCAGTCAAAATGTTACCTTCTCCAGCTGGTGCTATGATAGACCTCATTCTGCTTTGTCTGCCTTCTGCGTTCTTGCCAGAACATGAGCGTGAGCAAACTGACCACTTGGACCATTCGCTGAGAATGCAGTCAGTAGGACAAGGCACTTCACACACAACAAGACTAAGAAAAGGCGATTCTCCACACAGCTCGTTTGATGTCATCTCTCCTATACAAAGACAAAAAAAAGTAAACATTGAACAAACAACACAATTTACACTATATACTGCCATTCACTGTGGAAAAATATAAGTTTGGTTGAAGCAAAGAAGGGCTTCAGATGAGAGTAAATTCTGTGAAGAGCTATGAGATGTCCTGCCAACATGAATCAAATGTATGCATTATAATTATCATTATTTTCCAGCTGACATTGGCAGAAATCATAGAAGAAGACCAAATGAGACTTGCATTCAAACAGAGATCGTGCTTTTATTTACATGAATGTGACCGACCTTGTCACTGAATGTAGTACAAATCCTCATGTCAAATCCTATTAGGTGAGTCTCACTGTATGTCGAATTTTTTTCAGTTGGGCTGTTTTTGTCAAATTAAGTCAAATTAATCTGACATGTCAGCTAATCATAAAAACAATTAGGCAATAGATACGCATATGGATCTCTGGGGGGTTTATTGGATTCTTCTATCCAGAAACACAGGCATTGGAGATAATTGATTGACTGCAAAAAACTGCCCACCTCACCTTGAGACATTTCTGTTCAATTGATGCTTCACCACAAAGCAAAACTCTTTCATATCACTCAAACTGGCAGGTGCCTTATTTTTTCCCTCCAAGACTCTATTGGCTCATTCACAAATTGATGTCCTATGCATCAAAATATGAATTTATAAAAGTAACTAATATACATGCAAACATGTGAGGACATCTCAAAACATTTTCCAGGATATACTGATTTAAATAAAGACACCTCAGTAACCATATGGGAGCTTATTCCCCTCCATGGATGTACATCCATTATGTACAGTTTATTTCATGCATACTTTGCATCAGTAAGCATTTATCTGAGAGATATAGAAGGTATATTTCCAGAAATGCCTTATTTCTATAACTGTTAAATAAACATCAACAATGTATTGATTTTGGCAATTAAGTTTTCAACAAGTATTCAGGAGCGAATTTGTATCCATGAACTCTGGATGATAGTACAAATATTGCACTTCATGTCCTGGACAATGCTGCAATTACAGCCTAATACATTACAGCAATTAAAACTATAATGAAATACATTGCAGAAATATATTATGCATCTATTGTAACTACTTTTATATGCTGTTTCAGTAATGATTATTTTTCACCTACTTCCTCGACCCCATCCCTACCCCTCTCCTTACCTCCCAGCTCCACCTCCTTGCCCCTCTATTCACAAACATCATAAACCTCTCCCTGTCCACTGGTACCGTTCCCATCCCATTAAAAACTGCTGTCATCACTCCTATCCTTAAAAAATCTTCCCTAAACTCATCTCTACTCCCAAACTACCGCCTCATCTCCACCCTCTCTTTCCTCTCCAAGGTCCTGGAATCAGTTGTTGCTTCCCAGCTTCACTCCTTCCACTCCCTTCACAAACCCCTCCAATCGGGCTTCTGTGCCGCCCACAGCACAGAAACAGCCCTGGTCAAAGTGACAAATGGCATTCTGTCCATCTGCGACCAGGGCTCCCTCTGCCTCCTCATCCTCCTTGACCTCTCTGCTGCCTTCGATACCGTCGACCACTCTATCCTGATTCACAGCCTCTCCTCTCACCTCAACTTTCACAGCTCTGTCCTTGACTGGTTCAGATCGTACCTCTCACACCACTTCCAATTCTCTACAAACTGTTTCTCTTCTATCCCCTGCACCGTCTCGTGCTGGATGAAAGCTAATTTTCTTTAGTTGAATGTCAACAAGACTGAGGTTCTCCTGATTGGCTCCCGTCAGCGCCTCCTCACCTCAGGCGCCGACAGCATCACCGTCCATGGTTGCACACTCCACCTTGCTAAACCAGTCTGGAACTTTGGCATCTTGTTTGACCCTCAACTATCCTTTCTACCCCATATCTGCGCCATGACCTGCTCTGCCTTCCCCCACCTCCGCATCATCTTCCACCACTGTCTCACATCGCAGGCCGCCGAAACCCTCATATATGTTTTCATTACATCGAGGCTCGACTATGCAAACTTATTGCTTGTCGGCCTCCCCAACTCCTCCCTCCATAGGCTGCAGATCATTCAGAACTCTGCAGTCCGTGTCCTCTCCCGCACTAGGCTCTGTGACCCTATCACCCCCATCCTCGCCCGACTCTACTGGCTTCCCATCATATAGAGGATACAGTTCAAGATCCTGGTCCTCACCTTCAAAGCCCTCCACGGTCTTGTTCCCCCCTACCTCTGCGACCTCCTAATCCCCTAGCAACCTGCCCACCCCTCTGATCAGCGGGCTCCGGCCTGCTTCCCATCCCCGCCTCACTCGCCACACTATTGGCGGGTGGGCCTTCAGTCACTCTGCCCCCAACCTCTGGAACTCCATCCTGCAGTCCCTCCATCTTGTCCTCTCCCTTGCTTCCTTCAAGACCCATCTCAAGACCCTCCTCTTCGACCATGCTTTTGATCTCCCTGCTTCTTACCCCTACCCATCCCCGACCTCCAGCTCGGGTCCGAAAGTCTGTCTGTCCAGCGCCTTGGGACGTCCTCTTGATGTGAAAGGGGTTGTCTAAATGTAATTTTGTTGCTGTTATATTTGCGCCAAGCTGAAAGCTTACTGAAACTTAGCAATGCACCAGAACTCATGTTTATTTATTCATTCAATACAGTGTAAATACAGAGCATACAACATGCCAGTCATAACCTGATGCATCGTAATTATTTCTGACATTTACTTCAGATTGATCAATGATGTTGCAGCCATCTGGATAACATCCAGCTCTGTACATTGGCTGCATGATTACTTGCTGTAATTGTGCAGATGTTTGGGAAGGTATTTCACCCTTTCCTCTGTAACTGGGAGAGGTTAGGTTTTACTCCACCATGGTCCTAGCTATATTGTTATCTCCCCCACCACCCCCAACACACACACACACACAGATGCACACAAAATGAGGGGTGTGGGGGAATAAAATGCTCGCCTATCACCCATGTTTGACGTGGCAACATTCCAAAAGTAGGTTCTTGCTGATGACTTCTGTAGCTGGTCAATGGAGCACTTTTTCTCCAATCAGGTTCTACCACACAATCGTAATCACCTTCTCAACTCCTGGTTGCAATTCTAGGAACACATTTGTTCAAGGAAAAGTGTCGATCTGTCTGAGCCAGATCTCAGATCTGTGTGACGCAAGCATGTAGTTAAATACCTCACCAACCAGCCAAAAAAATCATCTTTTTTTGTTGCAGGTATTTTTCAGGAATTGTGCAGAAGCAAGATGCTTCACTTAACTGGTGGTAGTTTTTCCAACCTCCTCCTCCATGCTTGAAGTAAAAACATAAACATAAATTTCCCCACACTAATAATTTACTGCACACACTTCACTTAATTGCCTTTCCGATTAAGACATAGCACGTTTTTAAATGTTTTGGCTGACTCTTTGCCTCAATACATGCCCGAGGACCAGTGTAGAATGCTGATAGAGCTTAGAATGGTATCATTTCCTCTTGATTCAATGCAACTCTACCTTTTAAAACTCTGCCCTAACAGCTGGCAGAGTACACAATGGTGGCAGTAAGTTTAGAATGGACGTATGTTTTGTTATCCTTTGTATGTACTGCTCGCTTCTCTCAAGGACTGTTGAAAAATAATGCTTTGCTTCAGTCTTTACCAACACTGCACTGTGCTTGATATTTTAAAATAGCACTTCAAACTCCTCCAGATATAATCTCCACTGGCTTGTGAACTACTGTAGCCCGTACTACTTCTGAGGTTCAGAAAATCAACTTTGCCTGTTTGAATATCTGTTTGAGTATAAGGGCTCACATCAGAGCCCACCATGGTCCTGTTGGGTTGGCTACCCCAGCCCCAGCCTATGGGATAATGCCACCCACCTGACCGCTCGCTCCCGGTCCCCGTGTGCGCACTATGGCTGCCGCTTTGACCCGAGCCCCCTCACCCCCTCCCTCCCTCCTCCTCTCTCTCCCCCAAACCCTCCCCCCTCTGCATCTCTCCCGCTCTCTCCTCCTCTCTCTCCGTCCCTCTCGCCTTCTATCCCCACTTGACCCTCCCACAACCTCCCTCTGTTCCAGCCTGGGAATCCTCCGCCGGGCTCACCGTGGCACTCGGCGTTGGCTGTCCAGCAGCAGCCACACCGACTGCCCCATTCCCCACCACACTCGCCAGCCACCCCGGACACAGACCCGGGGAGCCAACCTCTCCTCCCTTATCTCCATTTCCCCCACCCCTGCTTCACAACCTCCCCTCCCACACACCCTTCAGTCAACCGCTCCCTCCACATCGGACTACAAAACGTCCGCTCCCTCTGTAACAAGGCCCTGGTCATCAACGATCTCATCCTTGATGAGAGCATTGACATCATGGCCTTAACGGAAACCTGGCTCACCCCAGGCGACACCTTCCCCCTCACGGAGGCCACACCACCCGGCTACACCTCCCACCACATCCCTCGCCCCAACCGCCGTGGCGGTGGTGCAGCCCTTATCTCAAGGACACTACTTGCCCTATCCCCCTACTCCTCTGGCTCTTTCCCCTCTTTCGAGCACCTCACCCTCTCCCACCCCTCCTTCCTCTCACTCAAAATCCTCCTCCTCTACCGGCCCCCTAAAACCTCTCCCACCTTCATCTCCGATATTTCGACACTTCTTACATCTCTCTGCCTCTGCTCTGATCGCCTCATCATCCTGGGCGACTTCACCTGCACTTCACCCCCTCCTGCTCCATCTCCTCAGACTTCTCTTCCCTGCTCTCCTCACTCAACCTCTCCCTCCACATCAACTCCCCCACTCACAGTCACGGCCACCCACTCGACTTGGTGATCACCCGGGGCCTCAGTGTCTCGGATGTCACTATCACCGACAAGGCCGTCTCTGATCACCACTTCATCTCCTTCACCACCTCCACCCCCTCCCCACCTCCACCAGACCCACCACCATCTTCTACCGCCCCTGGAAGAAGTTACCCCACAATCCCTAACCGCTGCCTTGGAGTCCTCTGAACTCCTCTCCCTCTGG